GATGGAAATATTACTGAAAAAGATGATACAAAACCGAAAATGGTTTTGATTCTAGGACAAGAGGATGATATGATCGCGCATAATTTAAATACAGTAGTTGATACTGTTACGGCCACGACAAATAAAAAAAAGCTAGTTGTTGAAACTTCTATCTATCAGGACCATCACAACATGTTTGGAGGCAAGAAATACAATATATATATATATATATATATATATATATATATATATATATATATATATATATATATATATATATATATATATATATATATATAGGGAAAATCCATCCTACCACCCGAGGGTAGTTACCCCACATGTCTCATATACTATCTTATGGTAGTATATATTCTACTTTATCATTTTAAGTATATTCATATATTATATATAAGATACTCCAAAGTGAGTTGCATGAAAAAATTTCAAGTTGGCCCATGATTTTTCTTATATTTGTGAAATACGTACATATTTGTACATAAAAGAGAGCATACTCAAAATATGATACATACTACCAAAAAAATAGTATATATACTACCTAAACATTCTTATATACTACATATTACGCGTACATACTCTCCGATTTGATAGATACTACATACTATATATAAAACTCAAGTGGTGGTAACTACCACTGGTGGTAGATAAAATTTGTCCTATATATATATATATATATATAGGAAAATGGTTGTATACTCCGGAGAGTACGTACTCCCGCTCCTCATATACCACATAGATGAATCTTTTATACCTCTTTATTATTTTTAATATACTTCATTATTAACTACTAGATACCTTAAAATGATTTTCATGGAAGAAATTATGTGAGTCTACATATTTTTAAAGGTTTACATATATACTGATTTGTTCGTATGTGAACAAGATATATTGCAAAAAGTACGTCAAAAATGATATTTTTTTCCACAAAACTCGTATTGGGGTATCCTAAAATATTTAATGAAGTATATTGAGAATGATAAAGAGTTATAATTAATGCGTCTACAGGGTATATTGAAGATGGGAGTACATACTCCCGGGAGTATAGAAAATTAGTGCTCCATAGAGAGTTGGGATATAGATTAAATTCTTTCACGTTACATAGAATTACAGAAAAAACATAATTTACATTATAGATAAAATATAATCTCATGGGTTCATATATCGAGAGTTGGGATTGGATTTAATAGCAGAGAAGATGTCTCCCAAGGACTAAATCGAAATGGACACTAGAAATTGTACAATTTTATATCAAAGTTTACACGCGTAAATATTTGATTCATTTCTAGTGTGAATTTAATATAAAGAGATAGCTTCTACTTTAGGCAAAAACAAATTCAGTGCTCCATAAACTAAATTTTAACCACCACAATTTTTGTGTTACTGCAGAAATGATAAATTTTTGTGAACATGTATATTCATGGTTTTTTGGGGGGGATTTGGATTGACACCAGTGTAGTACCCTCAAATAAGTAGAGTGTGTTTTGATTGATAAAGACAAGGCTTTGAACCAGAAAAAAAACTTCGTATGTATGTCATTAAAGACTGGTGCTATTATTTTATATGAAAAGTGCTTGTATCGTTGTGACATTGTATGACATAAATCATATTAAAGGAGTAATTATTGGTCAAAGCCTGGCCAAGACCAATTAAAACATCATCCGCATAAAAAGACCAATTAAAACATGTTCACATAATCGGGATAGAGGAGGGGCATTAGTAGCTTATGACACTGTTTGTGTAGAAATGACAGGAAAATGTATCAAAAATAGCGCTGTAGTACATGCTCTTGGAAGGAAAAATTTATATGATTTGTTGGCGCAAGGGAAAACTGTCTGTCAGTTTTCCAGAAAACAAAAGGAAAACTGTCAGTCATGAATTTGCTGACGTACCTTCCGTGTTGATGCACCCACCGGGTATGGTGAAGTTGCCGGTGGTTCCTGGCGGGCACCCACACATGAAGGATCCTTCCGTGTTGATGCATTCACCATAGCATCCAGTGAGTGCTGGTGACCACTCGCACTCATCGATATCTACATTTTCAAATGTAGACCCACTGATCAATCAAAACAATAAAATTATCATCATTAAGTTTTTCTTAATTATACATACCTTTGCACCCGTCTGTGAGGTAAGGATTGCCTTCGTAACCATTTTTGCAGGCACATGCATAGCCTCCTCTTTTTCGGCCATTTCCGCGTTGGCTGTGGTTGCTCTTGCAGACACTGCTCCTGTTAGGATGGTCAACAACCTCCCACGACAGCCAAACGGGAACTTTCAATGTCTCCTTTGATGGGGGTCGGCCAGTCTGCAGGAGGTCGTTTGAGACGGAGGTATTGTCGAACCACCCACGTTCGGCGATAAACACACGCACCGGGAATCGGTCCCGGTCCGCGCTACGGTTCCAACCACCCAACCGTCTGAGCTGCACGTCATATGCGGTGCTACTGCTGCTGTATACTTCGCCACGTCCGTCGTCGTCGTAGCCCGGCTTGATGATGTTCGCACGGCAGCAGCCTGTGCTGCCGCCAGAGCATCGGTCGATCACGCTGGTTTCATAGTCTGCTGTGTCATCACAAAGCGAGGTGCAGCTGGCCACGGTGGCGTTGCCACTCTTCACCGTCGCCTGCACGTTGCAGCCCATCAAGATGAGCTCGCTCCTAAAGGGCAGCAACACGGTTAGCAACATGTATGGTCCGTCGTGCTTAAGGCCTTGGCTGAACGTGCCGTTGCCATTGCCATTGGCATCGACTTTGATTTTAACGTCACCATTGCGTTGGACGTACATGTAGCCCCCCGAATCGAGGTTCATGATGCCGAGGACTTGAATAGTGCCGTCGGCGTCCAGCAGCAGCCGTGGGCTTGAGCCGGTAGTGTTGTCGCAGGTGAGGTTGAAGCCTGGCAGGTAGCAGCTGGTGTTCGCGCCAATGCCGAACGGGTACGGCACCTCCACGTCGCCGCAGGAGATGACGCAGTTGGGCATCCCGATCGGATCAGCTGCTTCTACTGTTCCTCTAGTGAAAGTGAACACCGGCACTAGTATAAGTACCGCTGCCGCTATAGCTACCGCGGAGATGGTTATTTGCGCCATTGCAATGGATGGATGGATGGACGCTTGAACGGTGGATCGAGCCCTATAAAAGAGCTAGCCTGGCACTGGCTACCTCAAGCGCCATCATGCCAGCACCAGTTTTTTTTTTCCTACGTACGTACACGGATCCACCATTTTCACGTGGAGAAGATGCGACCAACAGCGATGCCTGCCAACTCGGCTAAAAATCAATCCATTCCCATGGCAGCTGCTCGCTCGCTGCTTCGATGATGGCCGGCCGGACTTGTTGATTCCCCTGCAGCTTGACGCAGAACTTCAAAGGACTGGCGTCTGCTGCAAATTGTGTGCGATTCCTTCTTGCGAGGAGATGATGAGATACCAAGCCATTTCGATCCAGCCAGAGAAAGACACGTGTATTTGGGTGCCTCAACAGTTTCCACCGACACCGGAAATTCCCAGTCAAAAACATGTTCACGCGATTCGTCTCAGTCGTCTTGACGGCCATCATCATTGTGCTCTTGGTCTTTCCCCTGACACTCTTTCACGCGATTTGTCCTTGGTTTTTGGATTTATAGCTAGACTGTCATGAGCTCGTGACTTCGCCCCCTCTGCAGGCACAAAAGCATTCACGTTCAGACTTGAAAAACGAATCGGAACCAAATGCTCTGCATGCAAATGATGATTGTGTAAAACAAATTATCAGCCCGTTTTTATGGGTCCTACGTTGACTGACTTGAAGAGTACCGTGCTCATCGATCTCTCCCTAAACTTACTGCATGCATGTGAAGCAAGCTCTCTAGCGAAAATCGACAAGGAGATTCGTTCTTTCCCGGGAAAAAAAACTAAAAAAGAATATAGCACCGGAAAAGTCTACATTATCTAACGTTTGACGTCTAAAGAGGCATCCATTTAGTAAAAAGAAAATGTACTTTCCATGCTATCCAATAACCAAATACTGGCAAAAATATATATCTAGATTACCGACCAAGCCCAGAGGGCGGTACCACATAACGAGGGCAGTGACACGGAGCTACCACAACTACCAAAGAATTAACCAACGACGCCACACACTGATGCTCAAAAAAAAAAAAAAAAAACAACGACGCCACACAAATGTGATTGATGTACATCAGTAGTCCTATAGGATGAAATCATCAGACCAATCCGGAGACGTCGATTCCACACCAGGCCAATTTTTTTCGCCAGGTCCCACCTATAATCGCTCGTCAATTATCCCGCATTAATATCGCCTTCCTAGCTAAAACCCACCCGACCAATTCCCCATCTCGCCTGCTCCTGAATTGTCTCCAACGCCGATCTCGCAACTTCCCTGCCGCTTTCCATCTCTTCGCCATGAACCTGCCATACCAACTATGCCGGTGAGATCCAACACACCGGTGCGCTGTCCAATCCGGTGGTTGCACTCGCATTATCTACCGCGACAACGAGCGAGCTCCCACTCGCATTATCCCGCATTATATGTGTCTGCTTCAACCGTTGCTACCGTTGCTTCTATTCCTACATTATACTCTATACTATCATTGTATTACTTTTAGTGAATTTGTGTACTAACCACTAACTTGTGGGCTTCATTCTTTCTCACCAAATGGTTCAGTTCTATAGATTCCCAATGATAATGTCATGCGCTGAGTTCGAGATCAACCAGGCACATCTCTGAGTTTTCGGTATTACTACGAATGATGTTAGAGCTCATGGCACACATGGATCTTGTCATTTTCAGATTGTCCAGTGCCCTCCCTATGTCGGCTACGATGAAATGAAAGTAGTGTTGTAATAGGTTTTTTTATTTTGTTACAAAATAAATTTGCAAATTTATGTTCCCATCGGATTAATATATTTCAATGCTTGATCATTCATGTTGTCCTTTTGTGAATCAAATTTTCCATTATAAGAAAATATCATTTCGCTTGCACCAAAAAAGGAACTATTTTGGTTGGAAGCAATTTATGATTGATGTCAGCAGCAAGAAAAGGATGCTTCCATGCAACGAGAAGAATGCTTCTGTGGTATAAAATCCATGTTCGCATCTATGAAGAAACATATCTTAAAAATGTCAAAAACAATTTTATGATCAATGGAAGCGCCAAGAAAATGATGCTTCCATGCATCTAGAAGAATGCTTCTGTGGTATAAAAATAGTGTTGCCATCTATAAAGAAACACATCTAAAAAATATCATAATTGATTGCCGAATTTAACCGTGAGAAGTTTTGTAGTTTCCCAAATTATTTCAGAAAAAAGGTATTTGACATCATTCCGGAAATGATGCTCCTGTGCATCAACAAGAATGCTTCCACGTCATGAAAATAATGTTGCCATCCATAAAGAAACAAATCCAAAAAATATCATAATTAATTGCTGGATTTAATTGTGAGCAATAATCGTACTTTCCAAAACTGTTAAGCAATTTTAGGAAACAAATCGCAATATTTAGGAGTTAGCGGTCAGGAAGCAGCTAACCTTATGGAAGCAATTACTAGGGAAGGATCGCAATTTCTGTGGTGGTTGGTGCTTACTCGGAAGCAGCAAAATTTACGGAAGCAGTTATACAAGGAAGGAAGCAATTCACGAAGGAAACAAACCTATCACGCGCGGTTTTTTTTATACCAGATCGGACGACCAGTATTCTTCTGATCCTACGGCTTTCAACTAGTCTAATAAGATGCAAATGATGAGTAGTCTGATCTCTAGTGGCTCCCAAAAAAGAAACCAACATGACATGTTTATTCCTTCTCCATTGTCTTCCTCAAGAGTAATACCTAAAAAGTTGAGAATAAAACACATAGAGGAGGAACAAACTAAATAAAATGATATGAGTAAGTAAAGATTAAGAAACTATGAGGAATGCAAACTATCAAAGAGGGAATGACAAAAAGAAACAGAAATGTTAACGCCCATACGTGTAGGCGTTGACCATCTCGACCACACGCATCCATCACCGTCCAGTACTATATGCACGAATCTTGGCACAATCTGACTGATTTTCTGTGCCACATAGGACAAGGCGTGTGTGTGGTGTGTGACATAGTTCGCCCACACATCCGTTTTACCACACGGAGGGGCCGGTGTGTGGGCGTTTAGCAGTTCACCCACACACCAGTTTTCAGTCACGCACAAGGGTTGGTGTGTCGGCATTTACCATCTCGCCCACACGTCCGTCTCCTCTCCCACACCCCAGCTGCTAGTTGCCATGTGTTTTTGCAGCGCACATGGCAACTGCCCCTAGTGTGCTTTACAATCAGGTGGCAACTCTCTTTTTTTTATACGAGTTGCCATGTGTTTTTGCAGGGTACACGGCAACTGCCTAGTGTGCACGTAAGCAGATGACAACTCTCTTTTACCGAGTTGCCATGTGTTTTTGCATGGTACATGGCAACTGCCCCAATGTGCACGTACATGGCAACTGCCCTATCGTGCACGTTAGCAGATGGCAACTCTTCCTTTTTACATGGCAACTGCCCTAGCATGCTTGTGAGCACATGGCAACTCTCACAACTGCCTAGTGTTAGTATGTGGCAACTCCTAAAGTTATGAAATCATGGCAACTACATTAGATCAGACCATAAATGGCAACTACAGTTGAGCAACCATGGCAACTGCAGTTGTCCGACATGGCAACCGTAGTTCAGCGACATGGCAACTGCAGTTAAACGAACATGGACGAGGGTCTGGACCATGTCAACTGCGGGCGCACGGTGGGCATCACGCGTCGCGTGCGGGACCAGGAGGGTACGAGGCCTGACATACGGGCGTGTGGGCGTTATCAACTTCGCCCACACGCACGCATGTGAGAGGGTTCGGGAGGGAAAAAAGATGTGTGTGGGCATTAGTTGTTTTGCCCACACGTAGGTGTGTGCGCTGGTTGCTGTCCATGCCACACGAAGCGTGTGGCACAACTACCCGATACACCACATGTGTGGCAGTTATCGGGACCCAAAAGAAAAGTATTAAGAGAAAACGAATAGCAATGCAGATTAAAAATTGAAAACTAGCAATGATAAATGGTACCAAATTATCATTATTATTCGCGAATACGCAAAGCTTGCGTATCATTCATTGATAGAAGGAGTTAGAACAAGTACAAGAAGTGGTACAACACATGACATGAACACAAGGGCATGAACATGGTGCCCCGAGCAAAGAGACATGAGATGCCCAGTCCAAATAGAGACAAAAGCACAGCTAGGCCGCCCATCCTAGAAACTAGACCTGACCAACAACTTGATGACCAACATCACAAGATCCAGAACCGAGGACACCACGAGCACCCAAGACAACGCCTTCATGAAGGAGAACGACGTCGAGACGCCGTCGCCGTCTGATCCAAATAACCAGACCTAGGGTTTCCCCTGATGCTCGAAGAGGGGCACATGCAACGATCATGACAACGCCTCCGAGAAGGGGGTGGCACCCTGAGGTATCACCGCTACTGTCGGCGTTCTGGGGACGGGGGTCCCAGACTTGCCTGCCCGTGGCCTGCGACGTGGCTCAAGGGATGGCCCAGTACGGCCCATCTTCATCAATTCAAGCTCAAGACCCTCGCGAGGGGGCCAAGCCTCGCGGGGCGGACGACGCAAGGCTTCCTCAGGGACGGCCTCACCAGGCAGGCTCGTGAGGAGGCGGAGAGATCAAGGCAGGGGTACCTCGCGAGGTGCTCATGATGCAAGCCATGATGATCAAGACCAGGCGGGCGCCAGCCTGCGTAGTGTCCTCGCTTCCTCTTTGGTGCAAAGGGGGCAATCACAGGCGCGGAGTACCGAGGCATCAAGCAAAGGTTACCATTTTGATGTAACGAGACCAAGACCAGCAGAGTAGCAGGACGAAGGTCACCGTGAAGCCCAAGACGACGTCATTGCCAGTGCCTTTGGCAGCCGAAGACCAACTTTTGTCAGGATAACTTGTACTAGCTGTTCCCCTTCAAAATGACCGTTGTTGGCTCCCTTCCCGCTCAATATTTGGGAAGAGGACTAGTGCCTCTATAAATAGAGATATCTACCACCATAGAGGGGAGATCGGATC